CCCTTTGGGGGTTGAATGATCCTTTCACAGGGGTCACCTAGTTCATAACAGTAAAATTATAGTTATGAAGTGGTAACGAAAAAAAATTTATGGTTGGGGGGTGTCACCACAACATGAACTGTATTAAAGAGTCATGGCATTAGGAAGGTTGAGAGCCACTGCCTTAAAGGGATTTCTACATCCCTTTCTTTTGTTTTTGCTGCATTTCTGATTTGATAATCTTAACAAGTATCAGACATTTATTATCTCATGGGTAAACCCTATTATGTAAGTTAGGATGTACTGGAACATTTAAAAATTTCATTTCAAGCAATATAAGGTCAGGAAATTTCCCGTGTGTTCATAGGTGCAGATAACTTGGTGTATAATTATATGGAAATTAAAGGGGAGGAGAAGCGCAACCAAATAGATTTATTCATATTAAAAGATGATGTTATATCTCTCAAAATGTTATTTCTCCTCTCTGTGTAAGAGAATAATACTGTGTTTTGAAATACAGTATTTGAAATGGGGTTTTCAATTCCCCATATTTAAGGTGTTGGTTTCGTCTAAATTTTCTCTATTGGTTACAGTGAAAAGTTTTATTTGAATAGTACCAGTTAGGGGCATGACTTTTTTACCGCTTCATACTCCTGAATATTTTAACACTTTAAAAACGAGCAAATAAGTTTTAGTGGAAAAGCTCAATCTTGGGTAAATTTGTCTTAACTGACACTTCTTAATAGGTAAATTATATAAAATTTATTTCTTAGTATTTTTATCTCTGCATTCCCTACATATTTTTTAATTTCACTTGTCAAAGTTTGACTAGCTATCTAATAATTTTACTATTCTTTTATGTAAAGTTACAAGAGTTTTCTTGTAGTGATCATAAGACAAGATTATAGTTTGCTAATTATGTGTTAAATGTAATAACTGAGTATCTTTTCTTTTTAGGAGGCTTTAATGATTAAAATATTTTTAACTTGCTTGCAGTGTTCTTTCTATAAAATTTTATTTAGTATATTTGAATATTCTGTATTAGCATTTTAAAATAATTTTTAGCATTTTTAAAAATTGGGAAGTGGAACCTAAATAAACAGAGTTTATCCTTAGATATACGAAAAGTCTTTTCATCTAAGTGAGAGCATGACTTTTTGTGCTCAATTGTGCACTTAAATGTGAATTTGGAGCAAAGTGTTAGGTGAATACTTTTTGTCATTGATTGTAAAATGTTGTTATAGTTGATTTTAAAGGGTATTCATTTAGATAGTGTCTTTCATAACTTACAAATTTTGTATTGTAATTGATTTTGCCTTATCCAACTACTTACCTAATTCCTTTAAGTAAGGTTATACAAAAACCCCAACAGAACACCCAAAAAACAAACAAACCCACTTCTGCATTTCATTAATTGGTAAAAGGGTTTGAAGAAAATCCAAGGTTTTTTTCCCTTTCCTTTATTTTATTTTGTTTTTTTTAAGCCTCGCCTTTCTTTTTTTAAAAAAAAATCATTTTATTAGGGACCCATACAACTCTTATCACATTCCATACATACATCAAGAAGAAAATACAGTTTTACTGTCAAACAAAACTTTGGACCAGTGTAAACCCAGATGCAGCCATAGTACTTAGTGTCTTAGTGTTACGGTTAATAACACTACTTCTGTGGTTCGAGCTCACCCCGCAACTTGGTGTGGAAACAAAAGAAGACAGTTTGCTTCTAGAAAACTCCACGGGGACAGTTCTACCCTGTCACAGCATGTCATTATGTGTCAAAATATACCCCTAGGCATTAATAACATTGGTAAGAATGAAATCCTTTTGACTTTGTGTACTCTAGTGAGGCCCTGAGGACCTCTTGATTTTAGTGTACCCCACAGCTAAAACTCTTCTTAAAACACAACGAAGATTTGATATGTGTTTCTGGGACTCATTCGTACTTTGCTTATCATATGTGGCCACCTGTAAATTTCAGGTGATTTGAGTGACAAACTTCAGGAACACTACATAATTCTTTTGTTACAAATTTTAAGAGTGAACTTTTGTTAGGTATGGATGATTTAAACTTAAGAACGAAGGCATATTGATTAAATGAATTTTATAATCTCTTGGAAAAATTTAAGGATAATCCATCATTTACTCTGCACCCATAAATAATGTTATTTTCATAACTTGATTCCTCAGTTTTATGAATTGGGATAACAATAGACCTACATGTAATTGGACTGTTCTAAGATAATAAACTGAATTAATAAGTATAATTTTAATGTTGCTTTTTTTTGACATTTTAGTAAACTTTTGAGTTTTATGGCTGTGCAGTGATCAAAATGCTTGTCTGTTAACCCAAAGGTCTATGGTACAAAGCTACCAGCTGCTTTAAGGGAAAAAAGGTCTGGCAGTCTGCTTCCCTAGTGGGAATAGCCTTGGGAACCTTATGAGACAGCTGGATTCTGACCTATTGAGTTACATTCTAGCATTGATTTGAAGGCGATTGTTTTTAAGTTACTTCATTTTAAACTAGGACATGAATTTGTCTGTTTAAGCAACAAAGCACTATTATATTGACTACAATATTTATTATGTAGCTGTTTCAAACATATTAAAAGCTATTCTAGGAAGAAGTGGAGACCTTTTATCTGGCTTTTTGAGTGGACACATCTTTTTGAACTTTTAAAAGTGCCACTTAGCGATGCCATACAGGTTATAATGAAAAATAATATCTTAATTTCAGTTTTTAAAACCATCTTAAGTAGTCTCTATTGTTTTACATTTTATTAGTAATAACTATAGTATTGATTTTATAAAGAGTACCTTAAATATGACCAGGAACCTGAAAACTTCTTTTACCTTGTCAAAAAATTACAACATAATCTGTCTTGTCTTTAATTTCGACTATCTTTGTCCTTAGTTATACTGTGTAATTTTTTTAAGACATATCATTGCTAAATAAAGCTTATGTTTGTTAAGTAAGATAGAGTACTGCTATACATTATGAAATTTATATTTTAATATAAATACTAGTATGACATCAAGTAATATTATAAGACATTCTTATGACCTAATCTAAAGAAAGATGCTTTGGAACTGAAATAAAATTTTAATAGAGCACCAGAATATTAATGTGATTGTCAGTGTTGGTTAGATGACATATAACCATTTTTTGTCAGTAGATATTGTTTTCAATTAGAATAAATTTAAGAATAATGAAAAGTTACGAAGTTTGCTATTCCAAAAAAGCTATGGGTAACACTTGAATTATGAAGAGGTATTTAAAAAGGGATGTCTTTTATGCCTACTTGTTATGCTCTGTGCAAATGAGTTAGAAATCCAGGTTGGGTGTTAGTGTATCCACAGAGCAATCAGAAATCGAAATTTGCCTTACAGTGTAAATCCCAAAATAAAAATATAAATTAAGTCCTTGATTTCCATATAGTCATGACCATAATGTTAATTTAGATTATTAAGGTATTAGAGTGCAGTCACCTTCTGAAGAATTAAGTATCTGATAATTGGACAAGTTCGCCTATGCTGAAAGCCCTGCACTTTATTAGTAGGTTCCAAGTAGTAAAGAAGAAATGGCAGCTCTCTTTGGTTTGAATGTAAATGTGATAGTTTTCCTCTCTGTAGTTGCTCTCCTTCCTTCCCCCAGGAAGACTATCCTGCAATAGTCAGCTTGATTTGTAAAGACACATGCAGGAAATTGTAAAATAACTTTGGAAAAGATTTGGAGTGGACTTTTTCTTAATGTAGCACTTCAGGTTTTTATGTTGGTCTGTATATGTGGTGTTTTGTGCCAACTTGGTTAAGAATAACTTTCTGACATTTCAAATAGATTATCTGCTTAATGCCACTTAGATTTCCATAGTAAGCTCTAATTTCCTGTATTTCTAGCTTTTTGGGGGTGCTTTTAACTATTTTGTAGTTTTCAATGGCATTTTTTTTAAAGCAAGTAAATAGACTAATAAAATTACTCCTTATAATTAGAATAATGCTTTTTTTTTTTTTTTAGAATAATGCTTTCTTTGCATTTAAATATTGCTTCTTTTGTCTTTATAACATGGTGGTTGGATTCATTTAACACTTTTCTGTGATTGGCAAAGTTTAAGATATAGAAAAGACTTAGCCTTATTGTGATTAGTTTCACCTGAAGATTTTATTGAAATTTATCTTTGTAGCTGTTGTTAGTAAATGAATAAATTTTAAAATACGATCTCTACAGTAATGAAAAATATTTTTGATTACGTGTATGCCTTTTTGACTAATATTTGACCATAAGAACATAATAATGTTTCAAAATTTTCCAACTGGTAACACTTGTTTAGGTTTCCAAGTGAAAATTTGATCATTTAAAGAAAATTATTTTTGAGTTTACGTGTTTTGGAAATTTTAAGGTATATTCAATACTTTAAAATATTGATGAAAAAGATTCCATTATCTCTTTTTCCCTTACTCCCCAGAAAATTCTCAAGGACCATTTTTATTCATTTTGGTTCCATTATCTTTTAAATTTCATTTCCTCATGAACTTTTTAATCTTTAGTTGAAATAGTGCTTGAATGGTTAAAGATTTTTTTAAGTGACAATAACCTATTTTAGTTACAGCTTAGTATTAAAAAAAACTGCTGTATGTTTTAAATAAATTTGAACATAAATGAAACAGTGATTCAGTCAACAGCGTGAAAGAGGAGATTTAATTGGTCGTGGTAGTTAATATGAAATTTTTCTGTATCTATAGATAAATGTTCAGGATCCAGTAGAATCAAATCCACTGGAAAGTATTCGGTGTTTACTCTGATTTATTTGTAATTTCATTTGGGTCTTATGAACGCTAGGTACTCTACTTTCAGTTTAGCCCTGGAAGGCTAAAGTTTCTTTTCTGTGTTAACAATAAATTACATTGAAAATTAAAATTAAGTTTTAATGGAAAATGGTACCTCATTTTTTTGTTCTTGGTTTTAGATGGGGAATGTAAAGTCTTGAGATTCTTAGGTTGACTGTGACAACTATGTTTACTTACAGAGAGAACAGGAAATGAGAATGGGTGATATGGGTCCCCGTGGAGCAATAAACATGGGAGGTAGGGAATTGAAGCAAAAGCCTTTTTTCTGTAATTTATAATTCCTTGGGGAATGGTACATGCTGATTGTGGGATCAAATAAAATTAGCAACAAGTACTTTAAAGGTCAAATCTCTTTCATTCATAAAATATATACTGAAAATTTATGTGAAGGATGAAACCAAGTATTTAATACAATCTGCATTTAAATAGTTCATCTAATGGCATGGTGTAATACAATCAAGTTGTATTTTAAAAAGTTAAACCTGGCTTTAATTTGAATTTTTACTTTGGAAATTGTTATTTCCTCAGTTACAATGCTTTGAACTTATTCGAGTTTATAAATTTCTGCTTTAAAGCTAGTCTTTTATGTTAATTGGGAGCTATTGTACATCTCATCAAAGATTTAACTTTTTATACTTATACTACTGCCGTGAGCACAGAAATACACTGGTTGGAGTCATGTGCAACTTACTAAGGAAATACGTTATGTCTCATCTCTTTGGGCTCATACAAATCTTTGGAGTACAGTGAATTTTAAGTACATACAATGACATTATTTATATTGATTAACTTGTGTAATCCAGTTTTCAAGGATAGAACCACGTAAATGAAGGGGAAGTTATTGTAGAATGTATATTGCTAACCTTCCCATCTATTTTACAGTGTGTATTAAAAATATGTAGAATATAGTATGAAAAAAACTTAAGGACTTATGTGGAATAAACATTTTCATGATCAGTCTGTTTTTTTCACTTTCTCAACTAATGCTCATGCAGGTTATTTTTAACTAACCAGCCAGCTCTAGAAATATTCGTTGTCATTTAATTGGTCACTTTTCCAATCTGCCAGAAGTAGTTACTTATGATCTCTGACACACAAATACAAACAAAATAAGAATTATGGCCCTTGTTTAAAGAACTTGGTGTTGTACCAAGGTGAGGCTGCTTGGTCCCATACAGATTTACAGCCTCAGGAACTCTAGCAAACTGTCCTCCCTGTCTAACGTGGCTGATAGGAGTTAGAATTGACTAGATGGCAGTTGGTTGTATATTAATCGAATAATAAGTAAATTAAGATTAGATATGTTTGAAATTAGGCAACATAGTTGAAAAAGCAATAGTGCATTCACCTAACCCCTTGCTATTAAGTTGATTCTGACCCATAGTGATCCTAAGGGACAGAAGTAGAATTTTTCCCTAGGGGTTTCAAGGTGGAAATCTTTTAAGACACCAGGTAGGCTCATCCTGTAGTGTATTTACAATGAACTTGCCATAGATTTAGAGGCCTTATTTAAATGGTTAGAATTTCATGACCTAATTTTTTTATGACACTATTCACCAGAGACACATTTGCATTTCAATATTCACTTGCTAGTATAAATACCAAGTGAAATACTGATTAAAAATTTAGTTTTTGGGAGATCAGATACGCTAACATTTGGTTCTCAAATTTAGTTTAATCCAAGTTGAGTGGCAGATTTATTTAATGATAATAAGGCTCTACATCAAAATGAAAGCTGGAAAATATTTTTTTCTACTTAACAGTTGTGTAACTGTATTCTAGTATAATACAATACCAGTTGCAACAATTCCTTTGAATTGAATAGAAAAAGCAAAAAAACCAACTTACGGTTTCTTTTGGGGGAGAATTCGAGATGAGATACTTAATAGGTACTATCTTAACATTTTTATGCATTTTCTTTTTTTTCTTTACATTTTTCTGCATTTTCATCTTTGAAGACTGTAAACCTATATTCTTGAGGTTTCAAAATGTAGATTTATCAAAGGTGGATTGAAGAATTCAGGATAGTTCTTGCTGTCCAGCTTGCTAGGTTTCTGGGGGCGAGAACAGCAGAGAGCTACTGACACAGCTGTGTCGATTTGGTGTTTATTTGCTGAGAAATTCATTTTTTTTAAGAGTCGATTTTCTGAAAATAAAACCTCAGTTTCTTAGAAACCAGGTAATATAATATTGAAATAAAATCCCTAAATTTTAAGTACATACAAAAGAGGGAAATTTAAAATACATCTAAATGCTTATGAGGCTTTATATATGTGGTTTTGTAGTTCGGATATTATTATTAAAATCAAGCAGATAGATAGCTTTTTGATAGCAAATTATATTTGATTGTATCTATTACAAGATTTCCAACATGCCAAAAAAATCAAATGAATGTTTGAATGTTTTTTCTGTATTTAGTTACTTTTTGAAATAAGTTCAACCATTATGAATCATCTGTTTAAGCTCTCTATAAAAGGAATTTTAAAACTGCCTTGTAATTTTACGAGGGGGGGGGGCGTTGTTTAAACATATATAAAGATCCAGAGTTAGCTACAGTAATTTTTTTATGTTACAGAAAATTGCTCTTATCTGAACTCATGGTTGTTCTTTTAAAAAAAAAAATCACAATCATTAAAAAAAAGTCTTCTAGGTACTAAGTTTTTGTTGCTAATACATTCTGACAGAGTAGTTATTATTATGGATTACTAATAATAGAAAGCTTATTAAGGTATCATTTTCTAATATAATCTCTTCATATGGTTATAAGTACATTTATTAGCTTGAAAATTTAATGGGGTATACAATTCTATTTTGAAGAGTAGATTAATGGAGGATTCCATTAAGGAAGGGAAATTATTTTTCTAATAGCCTTGCAATGCAAAAATTGAAATATTGTTAAAATTTTAATGTTTATTAAACTAAGATAGGACAGCTCTAAGTATAGATTGTTTTACATTAGATGCGTTTAGCCCAGCACCTGCTGGTAACCAAGGTCCTCCTCCAATGATGGGTATGAATATGAACAACAGAGGAACTATACCTGGCCCACCTATGGGTCCTGGTCCTGCCATGGGACCAGAAGGAGCTGCAAATATGGGAACCCCAATGATGCCAGATAATGGAGCAGTGGTAATGTATCATAAACATTATTTTGATTATACTTAATTATATGTAATTCAACCCCAAAGGTAACTTCATACTTAATATAATTTGACATTGTTTTTTCTGGCAGAATGGATCAATATTGAATAAAAAGTTTTTATGAAGTTTCAGGTTGATTTATAATTGGCTCAAAAGTTAATACAGGGTACATTCTGTTACTGGTATCTAGTATTTATATTAGTTTTCCCCCTGTTTGTAATGGCCAATCATTTTTTATAATTGTGTATTTCCTTTGTGCACAACTTTGACCAGGGTCAAGACCCCAGTATACATGAAAAATAATTTTCAGATGATTTTCTTAATGAAGCAGTCTATTTTGATTAAAACTTTTTAATTGAACTGTAAAATAATCATTTTAATACACTAAATTTTTATTTCTACAATTTAATATAGAATTTAAAATTTTAGTTATATTTAAAGTATGCAGTTTTATATTGTTTGAGAGTGTGAAGATACCTTTGTGGGCTTTAATTTCATAACAGATTTTTGGTTGTATTTTTCATTGTATTTGAATATCAAGACCAATATCTTGTATCATTTTCCTTTAAGTCTATTACTATGTAAATGAGACTTTTCATTGACAAAAGTTTTTTTGGTTTAGTTTTTGTTAATGGTTCTTCTAAATGACACTTAGAAGGAAAGGCTCAATCTTATGCATGATTTTCAAAATATGCCATTCATTATATATGTCCAACCTGATTTGAGTTTTTAAGAGTGAAACATTGTAGGAGAATTGATAGACACAAGATTTATCAAATTTTAGTTTATTTACATAAAGTGTAATCTCTTTGGGAAAAATGTAACATGCTTTTAAACACAATAGTTTTAACTGGTAGGAAATGAGACGCAATGTACCAATAACCAATATAAAAAAGTAGAACACAATATTATTTTTGGCTTCATTCAATGAAGGCTGTATTTTATGGTAAAATATCTGAAAGCTAGTAGACCATAGGATACAAGTTAGTTCCGAGTTAACGGCTAATTTCCTATAATTCCAAGATGTTTCTGATAACAGTTTTTCTTTCTTTTTTGTTTTAAATAGTAAATAATAAAATTGAACTTTGTTAGGGAACAACTGAGAATAATAACAGCAAATTAACTAATACGCATGTAGTACATATTACTAATGATAAGGAAAAAAAACAATGTGGGGTGTTGGTGTGGTTCATCATAGGTTGACTATAGTGTAAGTTGGGGACCACCTGTACTTTTGTTAAGTTTTAATAGTACATAATCATCCATAGCAGTATTGACTCTTTTGTTTTTCTACCATAACTCCACACGGGCAAATATTATTAAAATATCACCTTGTATCCTTTTTTAACTAACACTTTACTACTATGCTAATGCAATTCTTTTCAGTCTTTTATATTAATAAGTGTTTATTGCAAAAATAATTCAAAATGGTTATTAAGGAATTTAGGTATATGCTAATTACCTTTTTCTGAAACACTAAAATTTCTCAGTAATTTCTGTAATGTGTATTTTATGTAATAATTTTCTTCATTAAAATCATTGATGTTGACATTTCTCAAATGTTTACTGAACAAATTTATTTTTTAAATTAGAATTTGATGCTAGCTGATCCCCAATTTATCGTTTTAATTTTTGAGAAATGTGTCTTCCTCATAAGACATAGCTACATATAATAAAAACCTTTTAAAAAGGAACAGAAAAGTATTATAATACTGATGGTGTTCACTAAGATCAAAGGTTTGTCATTTTTTCTTTTCATGACATTGGGACATCGTAAAAAATTAGCATACTAAAAATTAGTGATTTGTAATTCTTCAGATGAATTTTTTAAAACAAACATAGTAACTAACTACATTGCTCCTTTCTTCCTTCTATGTTTGATCCTGATTCTGCTGGACTTTCTGCTGAACTTCATGACATCACCACTTGGGATTTTGCCAATTTTTCTTGTCACTTGCATTTGGCGTGTTCCAAATGGACTTTATATTTATGATGTGATAAAATAGCACAATGATAGATTTCCACAAGGGCCACCATCTCAGATGGGATCACCTATGGGTAGTAGAACAGGCTCTGAAACCCCTCAAGCACCAATGAGTGGTGTTGGTCCTGTGACTGGTGGTCCAGGTGGTTTTGGCAGGGGAAGCCAAGGGGGCAACTTCGATGGCCCTAATAAGCGCCGTAGATATTAAAATTCCTTTCATTTCCGGCTCTCTAGTAAAAGAAATCCAGTGGTATGCCTTTACACCTTTATGTGTTACCTGGAAGAAATGGTTGTATTGTTAATGTATGTAGAATTTAAGACTTCTTTTGTAAAACTTGAGGTTTTGTATTTTTCTTTATTCATAGCTTTGTAGATTAATAGAATGGTGATGCTCATCATTGTGAATGTTAAAATGTGTTTGTAACTTCAGCTGAATATAAGTATGCCAGTACTGTGAACTCTGTAGTTAATCTCAATAAAGAATCCATTTTGAATTAATTTAAAATCTTATTGGTGGTATTCTCTTAAGGTTTTACTAAACTTGTGGTAGTAATACTTTGGTTGTGTTAGCGAATCCCATCCATTTAAAAATGAAGATGATTTACTCCTTTTTATTTTGTGCTATATATAGTAATGAAGATTAGAAATTTAGTTAAATCTAATGTCAATAATGGGTAGTTGAGTAGTACCTTTTCGGGTGGGGGGGGTAGGGAGTATACATTTGTATAAACCATGAATAGTCTGTGATTCAGAATTGCTGTCTTCATTTCATATAAATTATGAATACTCATATATTCTTAGAAGGAATATTAAGGATATCTGTCCGTGCTGATTTCTTCCAAATAAATCATTTTAATCTGGGGGAAACAAGTTGTGTGAAGGGAAATCTCTTGCTTCTAATGTAATGCTTTTAATCTGAGCTGCCACGTTTTTTTCATTCAATGCATCTTAATTCTTAATAATTATTGACAGTGTTAAATATCAATACTGTTGGTATTGGATGTTTAGTGAGGATTGCTGTGTACTTCACGGTCAGTTAGGCATGTTTTGAAAACGTTAACATATTTTTTGCAGCATTCTCTAATTATCGCTATAAAATCAGTAAATAGTAACTGAACTTGAGTGAACCACTGCAAATGTTGATCCAAAGAACACAGTTAAAAGTGTTATTTTAAGAAGCAGTAATGTTTTTGGAGATGAAGAGTTAGCGGTAGTGATGTCACTGCATGATGATTGTAATCCCATGGCACTCAATCATTTGCACTTAAATTGGGTTGAAACAACAGCTTTTTAGTGATACATATTCTTTTTACAGTTGTTTTTAGAGCTGTCAATCAGCTTGAGAAAGGCTAGGGACAAGAATGCAATCATCTACATTCTCCTACCAAACACCCATTTGGAATTTGGATCTTCAATACTAAGAAGAAACAAATTTTATTATGTAATATTTATTCTAAAGAAAAATCACACGTTTATTACAATTTCCATAAGCTTTAACTTTAGTTATATATTAGATTAAATGAGTTTTAGAGTAACTTGTATAACAAAATACATTGGCTTTTTATCACAGCACAGCTATGTTTCATATATGGTTTAGTACGTTTATAGAGAGTAACACTTTTAAAATAAATTGACGAACTGCTGCTTAATTTTTGCATGGTTTCTCTCTTTGCTGACAGGTATATTTTGGAAGGAAAGGTTATTTAAAACCTTATATAAAATAGTTGACTTTTACATATAATTGAGATTTGTCATTTGTACCAATTAAAAGTTTTTTATCTGCTACTTTGTCTTTTATATTTGATGCACATCACTGTGAATAGAAATATTTTCTGAACCTTCATTCACAGGGCGCGCGCCCGCCCC